GAGTTCAACTATTCAACCACAGAAACAGAATCAGTACATATAGTGATCAATTGCAAGGAACTGGCTTATGTGACTATAGAAACTCACTAAGCAATTCCAAAACTCATAGTAGGGCTGAACTCTTGAGCATGGGCATCTATCAACAGGAAGATTGTCTTTGAAGGGAAGCCTCCACTCTGACCTTTTGGCCTTTCAGTTGATTGATTTAGGCTCAGCCAGATTATATAGGATTAATCTCCCTTAAAGTCAAGTGACTGTGGACTTTAATCACATCTACAAAATACTAACACAGAAACACCTAGATGAGTGAAAAACTAAGTTCTGTAGCTTAGCTATGCTGACATTTAAAAGTCATCATTCATGGGGGCGCCTGGGTGGCTCAGTCGGTTAAGCATCCAACTTTGACCCAGGTCATGATCTCAACAGTTCGTGGGTTCGAGCCTCGCATCGGGTTCTGTGCTGACAGCTCAGAGCCTGGAGCCCGCTTCAGATTCTGTGTCTCCCTCTCTCTCTGACCCTCCCCTGCTCATGCTCTCTCTCTCTCTTTCCCTCTCTCTCAGAAATAAATGAAAACACTAAAAAAAAAAATTTTTTTTTAAGTCATCATTCTTACTAAGCTAAGTGAAATAAGTCAGGCAGAGAAGGACAGATACCATATGTTTTCACTCATACGTGGAACAGGAGAAACTTAACAGAGGACCATAAGGGAGGAGAAGGGGAAAAAATAGTTAAGGAGAGGGAGGGAGGCAAACCACAAGAGACTCTTAAATACTGAGAACAAACTGAGGGTTGATGGGGGTGGGGGAGAGAGAAAAATGGGTGATGGGCATGGAGGAGGGCACTTGTTGGGATGAGCACTGGGTGTTATATGGAAACCAACTTGACAATAAACTGTATTATAAAAAAACAAAAAATAAATAAAAGTCACCACTCTGGCTACACCTTGCCTTGTCTAACTGTAAACTATACACCTCTCCTAGAATAAATGATTTCCAAATACAAAAAATAATGTGATATTTCTGCCTAATACGGCACAACTATCCTGCCAAGAATGGAAACATGCTAATTCTTTTTCCAAAAGAAGATGGAACATCCTTGGGTGATATGCATCCTTCTCTTTTGATGCTCCCTACATATGATGATGTAAAGTTAACTATTATTGGGACACCTGACTAGCTCAGTGGGTAGAACATGTGACTCTTGATCTCAGGGTGGTGAGTTCAAGCCCCAAGTTGGCTGTAAAGCCTACTTAAAATATTAATAAAGTCAACTATTATTAATGCACCTTATATTGGATCATTAGGGAATATGAGAAGAAAACAAATATTTTAATAAATGTACAGATTCATAGCAAAATTCTAACTAATATGTCCTCATTTCTGCAAATGGTCAAAGGTAGTAGCTAGCTTTGTTAACTATTTTCTTCCATTACCAATTCGTATTTCCTTTGACCTCAGCAACTACCTCACATGGTTTTGATTCTTTGCCTGGTCAGGTGACCTGAATATATTTATATATTTTTTAATTACATGTAATATATACAAATGTATCTCTAAAAGTCTGTTCTTATAGAATGACCTCCAGTACTAACCTCTGTATCATTTAGTCTCAAACAGAGAAAGAGGATCAGTAGCATTCTGAACTCATAGGAAACTAGTGAAATTATACGCACACATAAAGACATTTGTTATAAAGAATTGACTTATACAACTATGGCATCTGGATAGGCAAGAATGAGATTTCTTGGAGGTGACTGGGTGGCTCAGTTAAGTGTCTGACTCTTGGTTTCAGCTCAGGCCATGATCTCATGGTTGTGGTACAGTGCAGAGCCTGCTTGGGATTCTCCCTCTCTCTGCCCCTCCCACGCTCACGTGCACCCTTTCTCTCAAAATAGACATTTTTTTTAAAAAAATGAGATTTCTGGGGCAGACTCTCTGGAAGGTCAGGCTGAAACTTGTCTCACAGATGAAGATGCTGTCCACGGATCTGATTTCTTTTCCTCCAAGAATGCCCAGCTTTGCTCTTAACACTTTCCCATGATTTTCTCAGCCTCACCAGATCAAGGATAATCTCCTTTACTTAAATCCAACTGATTATATAACTCAATCAATCTACAGAATACCTTCAGGTCAACAACCTAAAAACCTACCTCAGTATGTTTTTGAACAACCATGGAGTATAGGTTAGCAAAGATGACATATAAATTTTATGATCAATGATGGGGAAAAAATGTTTCAGTAAGAGCTGAGGAAAACGGGGAAAATATGAAGTGAAGGGTACCTGGATGGCTCAGTCAATTAAGCATCCAACCCTTGATTTTGGCTCAGGTGGTCATCTCAGGGTTTGTGGGATCAAGCCCTGAGTCTGGCTCTGAGCTGACAGCACAAGGCCTGCTTGGGATTTTCTTTCCCTCTCTCTCAAAAATAAATAAATAAACTTAAATATATACATACACACACACACATATATAGGCACATGGGTGGTTCAATCTGTTAAGCACCCAACTTTGGCTCAGGTCATAATCTCATGGTTTGTGAGTTCAAGCCCCATGTCAGGTTCTGTGCTGACAGCTCAGAGCCTGCAGCCTGCTTCAGATTCTGTGCCTCCCTCTCTCTCTGCCCCTACCTGGCTTGTGCTCTTGCTTTCTCTCAAAAATAAACATTAAAAAAAGAAAAACATAGGGTGTGTGAGTGGCTCAGTCCATTAAGCAACTGACTTAACCGATGCTTGAGTTCAAGCCCCACATCAGGTTACACACAAAAGAAAAGAAAGAGAGTAAGAGAAAGAAAGAAAAAAAGGAAGAAAGAAAAAGGAGGAGCATTTGGGTGACTCAGTCGGTTAAGTGTCTGGCTTGAGCTCAAGTCATCATCTCACAGCTGGTGAGTTCGAGCACCGCATTGGGCTCTGTGCTGACAGCTCAGAGCCTAGAGCATGCTTTGGATTGTCTCCCTCTCCCTCTGCCCCTCCTCCACTTGTGCTCTCGTCTCTCTCAAAAATAAACATTAAAAAAATTTTTATTTCAAATAAAAACAAAGAAAAATATAAAGTAGGTAGATCTTTCCAAAATTATAAATAACATCAAACCAAAATAATTAAAATGTGCGAGTACTACATTATGGAGAACAAAATGTTTTTAATATGTAAATGTATCTATGTATGTGTACATAAACGAGAGAGCACAGATTCTAAATATTTGGAAAAATATTAGGATATCTTTAAACTACCTGGTAGAATCTGTACTTCCTCTTAATCTGATTACTTCAAGTTTCTTTCTAAAAGTGTTGAACATTAATGAAGGATTAAATAGAAGGGTATATAAGAAATGGGTGGGTCACCCTTGGTGTTGATAAGGCTGTTGTCTTCCACAGCTGCTCAGTTGCCCACTCACCTCTGCAGGGTCCAGGTACCTCTTCCCAAGATGGATTTGAACAGCACTGCAAATGGTAAATTTTCATCTGCATTTTGCTCTCTTCTTTCATAATGCCATATGCTTTGTTTCCCAGAGTTTATAAGAGTTAAATCACTATCATAATTAGAGGGACAGATTGTTGGAACAGGAGGTGTTTTGCATTGGTAAGTTGTGTTAGAGGACTGATGGGTGCTTTAAAATTGGAGACTGGAATTTCAAATTTAAGGTTAACAGCCAGGAGTCCCACAAGTAGATTGTAGGTTGTCAAAAGTTTTGTGGGTTTTTTTTTTAATTTCTTTTATGGTTTTATTTTATTTTGAAAGAGACAGGGAGCAAGCGGGGGAGGGGCAGAGAGAGTGGGAGACACAGAATCTGAAGCAGGCTCCAGGCTCTGAGCTGTCAGCACAGAGCCCGACGCAGGGCTCGAACCCAAAGACTGAGATCATGACCTGAGCCCAAGTCGGACGCTTAACCGCCTGAGCCACCCAGGTGCCCCAATAGGTTGTCAAAAGTTTTAAAGTTGACACTGTAAATGGAGAAAAGCATATACATATATATACATATATATATATATATATGGAATACCTACCTTTAAAATGTATGGGGCACCCGCGTGTCCTTTTTCTTTTTTTTAAGAGAGAGAAAGCCTGAGGGATGGGGCAAAGAGAGAGGGAGAGAAAATCCCAAGCAGGCTCCTCACTGACAGCAGAGAGCCCTACGCAGGGCTCAATCTCAAGAACTAGGGCTCAATCTAACCATGAAATCATGACCTGAGTCGAAATCAAGTGCTGGATACCTGCAGCTCTTGGGTGGCTCAGCTGGTTAAGCATCTGACTCTTGATTTCAGCTCAGATCATGATCTCACAGCTTGTGAGTTCAAGCCCAGAGTTGGGTACCACACTGTCAGGGCAACTCCCACTTAGGATTCTCTTTCCCTCTCTCTCAAAATGAATAAACTTTAAAAGAAGAAAAACAAATTAAAAAAACAAAACAGTCAGAAGCTTAACCAACTGAGCCACGCAGACACCCCACTGTGTATTTTATTTAAATTTTTTAAGGTTTGACTTGTTTATGTACACTAACTTTCCTAGCTCCTACTGCTTCCTATGTTCTTTGCATGTAATTTTCTGGATTTTCAGTAACTTTTTCCTTTGATAACTCAGATCACAGAGTGTCATTTTTTCTTTTCTTTTTTTTTTATTTATTTCTAGGAGAGAGAGAGAGAGAGCAGGGGAGGGTCAGAGAGAGAGGGAGTCACAGACTCTGAAATAGGCTCCAGGCTCTGAGCTGGCAGTCAGCACAGAGCCCGACGCGGGGCTCGAACCCACGAACCGCGAGATCGTGACCTAAGCGAAAGTCAGACGCTTAACCGACTAAGCCACCCAGGCGCCCCATGAGTGTCACTTTTTCTATTATACATACATATTCAACTTACAGTTCTCCAATTTAACATGACCTTAGCTGTATCCCTAAAGTAAAAATACAAAATCATTGTTGAACCTACAGGCTTTCAGCCTAGAAAAAAAATATTCAGAGTTCTTAATCCATAAACATATCCTTCATACTCCTCTTCCCATTTTCTCTTGATCAGGCATACTACAAAAAGAAACCTGGCAAGGCAAGACTGTTTACAACCAGAGTCAAAAGGATACTCCAAGCATGGTTTGAACAAAGCCCTCACCCTGGTAAAGCTACCAGGAAACAATGGGCCAAAGAAATAGCATTCCAGAGTGTAAAATTCAGGTAAGCATAAGGTTTCTATTTCATTATCTGTCAGATTCAAAGTAGACAGAAATGTTGGGATCAGGACTTTCAGGCAATTCTTACATGTCAGGTATGTTGCTCAGGAGGTTTTTATTGTTGTATATTAAAAGCAAGAACTGTGTTTGTATCTTTTACTAATTGTGAAAATACTGATTGGGTATATTCACTGACAGGAGGAGAATATACTGGCTCAGGGCCTCCCAATGGGAGATACATCAATTTTTGAGATTTACGCAATTCAGGAAATTACAACACTATAATAATATGGCATCATTAAGTATTGATATATACTGGGGCACCTGGCTGGCTCAGTCACTAAAACATGTAATGAATTTGGGGTTGTGAGTTCAAGCCCTATACCGGGTGTAGAGATTAAAAATAAAAATCTTTGGGGCTCAGTTAACTTCAGCTCAGGTCATGATTTCAACTTGTGGGATCGAACCCCATGTCAGGCTCTGCACTGACAGCACTGAGACTGCTTGGGATTTTCTGTCTCCCTGTCTGCTCCTCCCCCACTCACACTTCCTCTAAGACAAATCTTTAAAAAAAACAAAAATAAAAAATCTTTTTAAAAAAGTTCTGATATATACTGCATAACGATGATTAATATGTAATTACGAGAAACTGTGGGGCAAGAACTCACATAAATTTCCAATTCTCAGGCTAGGTCTTTTTTAATACCTGAAATGTGATTTTCACACACTTAAGTATATAAAGTAGGGGTTAGGGGCGCCTGGGTGGCTCAGTCAGTTAAGTGTCCAACTTTGGCTCAGGTCATGATCTCAAGGTTCATGAGTTTGAGGCCCACGTTGGGCTCTGTGCTGACGGCTCAGAGCCTGGAGCCTGCTCCAGATTCTGTCTCTCTCCCTCTCCTCTCCCCCCTCCCTCCCTCTCTCCCTCTGGAGCCTGCTTCAGATTCTGTGTCTCCCTCCCTCCCTTCCCTCTCTCTGCCCCTCCCCTGTTCATACTCTGTCTCTTTCTCAAAACTAAACAATGAATGTTGCACTAGGGTGGCAAAGCTGGTTAAGCATCTGACTCTTGATCTCAGCTCAGGTCATGATCTCAAAGTATGTGAGTTTGAGCCCCACATGGTACTCTTCACTTGGGATTCTGTCTCTCCTTCTCTCTGCCCCTCCCCAGCTTGTGCTTTCTCTCTCTCTCAAAATAAACTAAAAAAAATGTTAATAAAAATAATTTTAATTTTTTAAGTATATGAAGTAAAATCCCATATTGTATTATTTTGAATGGTCCTAATGTAAAAATGAAACTAAGTTGGATTTCTTCGATAGCTGTAAACAATTATTCCAGTGAAACAGCATTTAAAACAATGAAGTTCAATAAATTGTGCTTTTAGAGGGAAATAATGAGTTCCTATTTTTGTGTCTGTATAGAGCCACCAATAAGCCATAGGCTAGACGGTCCTCAGTCCGAGATGTCGGAGAGAAATTTTTTATTCTTCATGCAGGAGTTCTGGGTGTGAAGAGACAGCTTATTCAAACCCCAATAATAAAAGCACATACTGTGGGACTATGCGAAATGTGCCTAAGGCTTACCTGCAAATATTCTGATTAATTAGAGAACAGATAACCTTTTAGCACAATGCCTGGATAAAAGAGCGGCTTGTTAAATATTGGTTGTTCTTTGATACCCTACCTATCACAAATTATCAAAAATAAAACCAACAATTAGAAAGTACACTGCAAATGTGACTCCAGTAATGAGGAAACAGCAAAGAGTTCTACTGGCTAGATAAGTGACAACAGTTTCCCAGCAAGGTGTACTGGGTCCTAGGAGTCTCCTTACCTACTGCTGATTATGGAGTAAGAGGGAATGTGGATCAATGTTAGTAAGGCTCTTGATCGTGGCTAATTTACTCCCCACTTAAAGAAATTCTTTTCACAATCAATTCCATATGTATTATATATAATAAAATGGGACCAAGAAAAGACATTCACACAGAAGCTCTGTTTTGAGAGGTGGGAGGAGGGAAAAGAGAGAAAAATAAATATTGATAGAACAGTATCTCTTGTATCAGGGACTTTTACTTGGGACACCAAGAAGATGACCATACAAGAAATGCTGTCTTGAAATGTATGCTAATAATAATATAACTCCTAAGATAATACATCACTTTTTTTCTTATGGATCTTATCCCAATGGCAGTTGATCAAATCAATTTCATTTAATTGCCTTGATATTTGGAACAACACAGATTGAGTTACATGACTTCAACATCTCCCACTCAGATTTGGTTTAAAAACCTCAGATCCAAACAAAGACAATTGGAATTGGATGCTCCCGAGCAAACGGTGAAACCCAGGGACAAAACCAGCATCAGCCTTGGACTCAAGGGAAGAAACTACTGGTCCAAATGCATTTCTTCAGTGGGTCCCAGAGAAAGTGAAAAAGGCTCTGCACATTGTGTCCATATTCTCAACAAAAAAATCATCATCTTAGGAGGCACTTACACCTTGTTCTGGGCACCCTAGTGTTAGAATAAAAGCAAGGTCCCACAGCTGGCTGAGACAGGCAGGTTCTTAGCACGGCAGGGCTCCGGGCCTTTTGTCTTGCTGCTCTAAGCAGGGTGGCATCCTGTTCTGTCACCCTTGGGGATCTAGGGCGAGTGTCAGCATTATCTTCCTAGATTCAAGTTTCCAGTTCAAATATGAGAACTGTCCTAAAAGACACCCTCTGTTTCCATGTTCTCCTTTAGGGTACTTCCCAAAAGCAGCCAGATAAGACTGGACATCCATCACAAGATCTCAATCACACATCCTACTTAAACTTTTGACAGGAACCAATTCCCTGACATTACAACCAGGAAAAAACTGGCTAAAATAACAGGCATTCAGGAATCAAGAATTCAAGTCAGTTCTGTCAGTGGCACCAAATATGTTCTACCTGTAAGTGATGTTATATTTCCTCCTAATGGGCTGCTGAAAAACTCTGACCTATCTTAGATTATCACAATCATCAAGAGCAAAAGTATGGGTTGGTAAACAGCTAGCACTGCAAGTCAGATTCCTGCAAAATGCAGAGTTCTGTCAATGTTCTATCCATTTAGAATCTGCAGCAGCAAAAATGGGGGAGAATATGAAAGTTAATACCTATTTTAGGAACTCCCTGTCAGATTTTTTAAAAGCTTGGTCATTTTGGTCCAGATAATTCCTTTCTTATGAGGTTGTCCTGTGCCTAATTGGTATTTTTAAGCATTCCTGGCCTCTATCAACTAGACACCCTGCTCACCTCCCGTCCTCCAACTTCTGACAGCCCAAAACATTTAGAGACTTAGTCACATGTCCTCCAGTGAACAAAATCACTCACTGGTACCTTCTAAAGTTATGAAGACAGTGGTTTAGTGTATGTTAAATGCTCATGCCTAGAAAGCACAGTCATAGTTTTATCAGCACAGAAACCCTCAAAAGACTTGTGTTCATTAATCCTTGATCAGACTTATACACATGTATGTAAGACTGGGATTTTTTTTTAATAGTTTATTGTCAAGTTGGTTTCCATATAACACCCAGTGCTCATCCCAACAAGTGCCCTCCTCCATGCCCATCACCCCCCTTCCCCTCTCTTATATACATGTTGACAAAGAGATAAATGTCAACCTGGTCAAGAAAACTTATTTCCTGATCCACTGCTGAAATTAAAGGGAAGAATCTAGAGCAAATGCCTTCTAAACCAGTTTCAATCCATCTATAGTTGACTGTGGTGTTAGGACCTCACTTTGTGTTTGTATGTGTATACACGTTTATACATACACATATATGCATACATACACATACTGAACACACGAATGAGAGAAATGACATATATGCAATAGTTCTATTTCATATGAAATACACACACACACACACCCCGTGATAATGGAGCCTGTATTAATAGTCCCTTTGCTTTATGCCATATGAGAAACAGAGCCAGAATCACTTGTCTTATGACATTCTTGTCTCCTTTTTCTTCACAAAAACGTGGTTTCAGAACGGAAGGTTCTATACCCAGGGCAGAGAAGTGAGTCAATGAATTCCTTGGCAGACTGCCCAAACAAAAGACCAGATCTGACATCTCAGCACCACCAAATTGATCTGGCAACTCTTCCAGGCAGGTATCATTTTGCTTTCTCCAATTTTTTCGGCAGGAGCCAAATATTGCTACCAGCTCCTCTTCCATCCCAGGAGTTCTCTGTCCCTTTTGTTAGCCAAAGACCAAGAGACATGATGGTACAGCCCACACAGACTGTGCAGAGAGAAATCTCTCTCTACTCTCAGGAATTACCTGCCAATATCATTGACTCTGGGAGTCTCGGATACTCAGACCCCTTTCTGGCCCCAAAAGCAAGAAAAGTGCCAGAATCACAAAGAATGACACAGGAGTACTGCAGTTGAAGGACTACTCTCAGCCTCATCCTGAGCACCAAAACCACCAACTGCAGGATCTGGCGCAGGCGGACATGTATTACATTCTGCAATGGTGGGATGAGATCTGCCAGGCTCTGATTGTGAAGTGGGATCCTTGAGGAGGGACACACTGAGACACATGCCTGCCGAACAGTCAGCTGGAAAACCATCTTATTCCCTTGGCCAACTCACCAGCAATGTGGAAAAACCTCAAGCCTTTATGTCAACTACTGTTACCCACAGATTTTCAGGAACAAGTAACTTTTCCAAGTCCTGGCCCGCAGAAAGAGGACCCTCCAGGACCCCAACTGTGCTTCAGTGAAGATGATTTTCAGGCTGCGTTCCATACCCTACAAAGCTCACCAGGGTCTGAACCTCCAGAGAAAGAAGTCATTCTCAGAACCTGGTCCAGGCCTCTCTTCTTTTGATGCACTATCAGTGCAATTTAAAGGACTGTGGATAATGAAGTCATCCTGTTTGGGACAAGATTAATGCAACAGGAAGGAGAAACCACTTGGAAACCCAAATGAAAGTTAAAACTGTTTTGTGGGCAGTGGTTATTTTCTATACTCACTTCACCGAATAAAGGATGGTTTCTAAGCTCCACACAGCCTCTGGAAGCACCACAGGCCAGCACACAGGCCTGCTGAATCCTTCTGAACAAAAGCATTTTATTGACAAACATGACCTCCTCTCTAATCACCATGTCCACCAATCCAGAATATGCATGAACTGTAACCAAACCCAAGCAGGAACAGATCTACCTGCTGACACATCAGCACTCCTTTTCCTCCTAGCAAGATGGGAAAGCAAACTTGAAATTAAGTTTGTCACACAGAAAATGAAAGGATACTATATTTCTTGATGATGTGAATTCATACAAGTGAGCTTTTCCCCAACATTTTAAGGATTTCAAGTGGGAACTAGAAACTATCCCAGTATCTACAAATACTGTAGATTTGTGATATCTACAAATATCTACAAATATTAAATGTAGATATTTAATGATTAAATGAATCATTTAATGAACGGTTAAATGAATCAGGTTAAATCCACAATACTGAGTATTCTTCATTTGCACTTTTTTCCTTTGACTACTTAAAACGTTACCAAAAAATTACAATGAAAATACAGTAGTAACACCATAGAAGCACTTAGTCTAATATGTTAATCTAAAACTGGGATAACCATTCTCATTTTCAGTCTTCTCTTTCTGAAATGAAAGCACATCTCAAAACAGACTTTGGTGTATGAAGGTGTATGTGGGTTTACCTTGGTAATACAAAAACATCTTTGAGTTTTATCAAGTTGCATTGTTCAAACAAACTCAAAAGGCTAGGTCCAGGTTGATGATAAACAGTGGTAACATTCCACCCCTGGATGGATAGTCTTGTTCCTAGAGAAGGTGACTAGAACTTGTACAATCGAAGTTTTCGGCAGACTTTTATTTGGGTATTCACCTTCCCTTTCATGCCACGTTCTCAGGGAAGGTAACACAATCTGCAGTCCAAGTAGAATATATCTTGATTGATTTAAGTTAATCCAGTCAATTTCACTTACAAAGAGTTAGGAAGGCGTGTGTGCCAAAATACTGGCCAATGAGAAATCTAGGGTCTTCCAAGAAAGGATGCACTCAACTTGCGACCATAAAGGAAACAGCCCACAAGACAAGCTAGGGACAGCCAAGTAGAAAAATAAAGAGAACCCTGAAGCTACCTACATCGGGACTTCTCATACATACAAGATATAAATCCCCTTGTTTCCCTTATTGTTTCAAGTCCTTTATTTTAAGCTTTCTGTTATAAACAATTAAATACAACTTTTAGATATAGGCAAAGGGAGCATATGATCCAGCAAAGAGTATTAGACCAAAAACTAGAGAAAATCTCAACAATTCAAGCAACAGCTTAAACTTTTAACTGCACCTGCTTAACAGGGATAGGGAACAAAGGAAAACTTAATACCAGGAGTATAGCCCACTGCTGCAGTTTGCAAAGAGGAGACAGAAATGTTTCTGCTACTAATGAAGGTATACAAGTTATTTAAGACCTAAAGAATTTCAAAAGCTGAGTTGTGGGGTTAGTAGAAAATAGGGAGGAAGGCCCATAATTCATGGGCTAAAATGAGTAAGAAATTATGTTTCCCAGAGCACAAGCCTCATGAAGTCAAGAAAAGAAAACCCAACAAGTAAGAATCTGGCAGCTTAACGGCGAGGTATCCTAACTTTAGGACTTGAACAGCTGGTCTATGGAGCAGATGCAGCCATAGCTCGATGTCATTAACCGTTAAGATCCAACTCATTTTCCTTAGATTTGTGCTCCCAAAAATACTTCTGATAATTTGTTTTCCTTCATATTATCTCCCAGCCTAAAAAATGAAATTCCAGAGAAATGACAAAAACAGATATTTGGAAGTCACTGGTGCTTTAATTTAAATATCTTTTGGGATTCTAGATATAATGACTCAGACCCTTTTGCACATGCTCTGACAAAACCGAAGTTTCTAACCTTGTAAAACTATAGGAACTTTACTAAGGTATAAACATCCTAAATGACATCTCCATTCCACATATAAAGTATTTTCAACCACCCTAGAGTCATACCTGATTGAATAACACATTTTAAACAAATGCCTACCACCTAACCCTTCCCAATATCCACTTAAAAATTATTCCTGGAGTGAGCTAGGTACTCCCGGGAACAGTTATCCTTTCAACATACTAAAGAGAAGGGCAAAGTAAAGCATTTTGATTTAGAATGGGTCCCGCCAGAAGCAGACCCTAAGAATTTGTGTGTAACTGATGATTCCAAATTGCATTTATTAGAGAAATGCACATGTGAAACAGGAGAAGGAAGCCTGTGCAGAGTGCATTCATAAACAACTACCACTGTGGGCAACTATGCTGGTTTCTGCTGGGTACCGTTAAAAGATGGCATGGAAACCTTTATCCCACTCAAGGGGGCATGGAAACCATTATCCCACTCAAGGACTGCTTCTCAAATATTCAGTTGGGTCATTTCTCCGGATGGCAAGGAAGCTGGAAATGCATCCTCTAATTCTCATCCACCATCAGCCGAAAGCCACTCACAGCAGCATGAACTTCACAGCACTTCAAGGAGAGGGGAAACCTCAAGCCGGTGCTTGCAGTAGGACCCCTATCTGTGGCATGTGCAGGAACGCTGAGTGCCCAGGGGGTAGGGGGAGGGCACAGCCACCCGTTACACACCTGATGGCTCCTGGCTGGCTTCTCACCCTTCAGCTTTCAGCAGCTCACGGTGTTCTCCCATCCCTCGGTCCTCGACTCAGATCTTCTCTCCGCTCCATCCAGAGAATCTAGCATTCTTCTAGGGGCCTACCAGTTCTAACATGGAACCATTTTGTTCATTATGGACCTAATTAAGAGCCAAGAAATGTCAGTTCCTTTATGGTTTTTATATCAAAAGTTTCATGAATACAATCAAAGAAAACACTTGGAGATTCAAAGTTCTTTTTATTTTCAACAAGTAACACAACAAAGAGGAATCAATCCACTAACTAATATATAAATCTAACACAATCCTTAGCACAAAATTGTCTTGAATAAATAAAAACACATTACTGATAACTGAGTAAGACTGCTCTTAAGACTCCAGGGTTTTGTGTGCGTTTTAAACAAAACTGGGGGTAGGTAAAGAAACACGTGCTACAAGTATGACTGACAAAGAGTGGAAGAAAACAACAGCCAAGGAGCAGGGTCCCCAAATATTAAGTTAGCAAAGGGAACATGGGGTTTTCAAAGCAGTCTAGAAATTAGAGCTCACTAGATGATGCAAGGGTTTAGGATGGTCCAATTTCAAGACTTTATAATTAAATCTTTCCACATTTCTAGATTCTTGATTTGGAATCTATCACAATCTAGGGGAGCTTCTGCCAAAGGACAGAGGCTCTTTATTTTCCTCCTCTGACTTTGTCACTAGCTCCTGAAACCAATATAGCAAGAGTTCCAATCAGAAAAGGATTACTACTACAAAGATCAACCTCTGTCTGGTGTAGATTTCCCTTTTATAAACACATTGAGACTGCCAGGGACAGCTATAAATGTATCAAATGTCTTTTACTTTTATCCTCCTACACAACTCTGCCTGGCTACAAAATCTAAAACTCACAGAGCGATGGCAGCATTGGTCAAAAGACAAGCGTCAGTTCCAAGGTAACAAACTCTGAAGTTCAATGTTCACAAAAAAAACTTTTTAACCTCACTTGCCACTCTTTTTCCTTTTCTTAATATCTTGCCAATTATTTCTTTCGGAATTCAATCCTCCGAGCTACATTCTGAGCACCGAATTTTTTGACCAATGCATCTCGGGCATCCTCATCATCTTTCTGCAAATCTAAGTCATCCTGTCGGGACCAAATAGGATATCCATCAGCCCTCTGACCAGACTCTAAAAAGGAGGAAGTAGCCTCCAGCTCACCACTATTTTTTAGGAATGCCTGTGTAACTGTTGACAGATCCAAGTTAAACTTTTCCATCAACTGCCTGATGATCTTAATGGCAGCTCCCACCTCTGGTGGAGAAACTTTTTCTTCTTCTTCTTCTTCCTCATCCTCATCAGGCTGTGTTTCAGAGTCTTCCTCAGGTGTGGGTGGATCATCATCACACATTGTTATGTGTATTTCAAAATCAGGGCTCTCGTCAACCTATAAAGAATGATAAATATGACCAGTTCCTAACTGCCAAGTCCCAAACACTTACTCTTGCAATACCTAGTCTCTCCCAACTACCACCACCTTGCCCTTTACATCCCAATCACACTAGACTTCCTTCAGTTCTTCCAATATGCTATGTTCCTTCTTGTATTTACTCATGTTGCATATGTGTACATTAAGTTTATGTATACAATGGATTGGGGGGGAGTGTGTGCGGGGGGGATATACGTGTGCTTATGTGTACATTACATGTATGTACACGTATATATATGACTATGGTATTCCAACACAAGATTAGAAGCCAGGATAATTAAAAAATAAGTGTATGTGCATACAAGTTCATGTGTACACACATATTCATTAGATCATTTGTTTATAAAGTTTGACTTCAGGAGCATTTGGGTGGCTGAGTTGGTTGAGCATCCGACTTTGGATCAGGTCATGA